GCGGCTACCGCCACTCGACCCACCGCAGCCGGAGCGGCCGGTACCGCTGCTCGACCAACCGCAGCATCCGGCACAGCGTCCGCAACTGCGGCTCGACGCGTGTCCACCGTGCCTGCATCGCCCGCTCGCTCCACTGTGAGTGCGACCGGTGCTACCGCTGTTCGCAGACCAGCAGGTGCGGCTTCCACCACAGCTCCATCGGCAACGACTGCTGCCGTGCGCAAGCCTGTTGGAACCTCATCGGCTGCTGCACCTTCCACCACAACCGCTCGCCGCCCACCTGTCTCGTCGACGGCAGGAGCGACTGCTTCTTCTTTGGCAGCGAAGCGCGCCTCGGTCGCTGGTTCCAGCGCATCTTCGGGCGGAGCGCCTGCTACAGCCACCGCTGCAGCTCGTCGCGCGTCCATCACGAGCAACGGTACCGGCACTACGGGTGCAGCCGCTCGCCCCGCATCCGCCGCCCGATCCAGCTTGGCTCCCTCATCCACACGACCAGGCGCTGCCGCGACGACCACGGCAGCCTCGGCTGCTGCCAGGAGAAGCCTCACTCCCGCCGGAGCCACTTCGTCTTCGGCCGTCAAGGACCTGCAAGACAAGGTGGCCAAGTTAGAGGCCGAGCTCGCTGAACAGAGCGATCAGTTGGACCAACTCAAGTCGGATCTCGAGGCGAAAGACGAGGAACTTCAAGCCAAGACGGTCGGACTCTCTGCTGCCGAAGCCAAACTTGCTGAGGCAAAGGACCCAGCAGCAAAACCCGAGGAGAAGGAAGCAGATTCGGCTGCTTCTGACCGAGTCAAAGAGCTAGAAGCGGAGGTCGAACGACTTGAAGCACAGCTTGGCTCGTCCGATGAGCAGCGCACCGACCAAGCTACTCAGCATGACGCCGTCGTGGCGGAGAAAGAACAAGCCATCGCAGCTGCACAAGGCAAGATCGAGGACCTCGAGGCAAAGCTTGCCGAGGCTCGTTCTTCGCTCGAAGACGCTTCGGCTGCTCGAGAGGCAAGCGCACAGGAGAAGGAGGCCAGTCAGTCCGAGGCATTGGCAGCCCTTGAAGAGAAGCTCAGCGCGAGCCTCAAGCAGATCGACGAGCACCAGCTCAGCGCAAAGCAAGCGCACGACGAGGCTCAGGCTGCGCAGAAGAGCGTCGCTGAACTTGAGCAACGCATTCAGCAGCTCACTCTGGACCACGAGCAAAAGGTGGCCGCCGGCGACGATCAAGCTTCCAAGCAGCTTGCCGAGCAGCAAGAGGCTCACGAGTCTGCTGTCAAGGACGCCAGCAACAAGGAAGCGGCCTTGGTGTCTCAGAACGAAAAGCTGCAGGCCGAGCTCGAGGGTCTCCAATCTCAGCTCCTGGAGGCTCAGAACAAAGCCAAGGAAGCAAGCGCGGCTGGCGAGCAGGGTGCCTCCGCTTTGACCGACAAGGAAGCGGAGCTCGCTGCCCTCAAGGAGAGCCACGAAGATCTGCAAAAGAAGGTCACTGAGCTGGACGCCCTCAAGGAGAGCCACGAGGCCCTGAAAAAGAAGGCAGCCGAGCTTGCCGCGGTTCAGGAACGCAACGCAGAGCTCGAGAAGCAGGTCTCGGAGCTTGCTCAACTCGAGCAGCGCAACAAGGACCTTCAAGGACAGATCGAGGCCAACTCTTCCGCGTTTGAGACGAGACTCGCCGAAGCCGTCGCTGCCGCTGAAGCCGCCGCTCTTGCAAAGGCGCAGCTCTCCCAGCAACAGGAGCTGGCCCCTACCGACTCAAGGCACGGCGAGGCGCTCGCCCAGGCGGTCCAACAGGCTCGAGCAGAAGCAGAGCAGAAGCACGCGGCCGTGCTGGAAGACGCTGTCAACAGCGCTCGTCGCGAGCTTTCCGCCGAGCACGCCAAAAGCCTCGAACAAGCCCTCGAGGAAGCCAATGCCAAGCACGCCGAACAGAAAGCCACCGAGCTCGATGCAGCTCGACGCGACGCAGAGGAACAGCTGCGCGTCGTGCTGCAGAAGGAGCACGAAGCTGCCTTGGAAGAGGCGCGTGCCGCTGATGCCTCCCGCCACGGTGAGGAGCTGTCGACGTTGGCAACGGCCCACGAGACGACGCTTTCGCAGGTTCGCGAGGAGCACGCCTCGGAGCTGTCGTCTCGCAACGATGTCGCCGAAGAGCGCCTCAAGGAGGTGCAACAGACCTTGGAGCAGGTCAAGGCCGAGCTTGCGTCTCAGGAAGCCAAGTACGCGGCCCAGGTCGCCGAGGTCAAGGCGGAGCACGATCAAAAGGTCATGGAAGCGTTTGAAAAGGCGCGCGCTGAGGCCGGAGACAACCACTCGACGGACCTCCAGAGCCTCAAAGAGCAATCTGCCAAGACCGTGGAGCAGATGCGAAAGTCGCACGCCGACGAGCTCGAAGCCGTGCAGGCTGCGCATGCCGCCGCTCTCTCGGACGCGGGCGAGCGACACACGGGCGAGCTCAAGCGCGTGCAATTGGAGCTCACCGCTGCGCAGGCCGACTTGAAGAAGGTCAAGGACACGCTTGCGCAGCTGCAGACGGAAAAGGAGGCCGGCGATGCTCGTGTCCGCTCGCTCGAGGCCGAGTTGGCTTCCGCATCCGACAAGGCCAAGCAGGCTGCCTCGGACTCGGCAGCAGCCAGCTCGACGGAGGCTTCTGCGCTGCGAAAGCAGCTAGAGCAGCTGGAGCAGGAGCTTGCCGAGACACGCAACGCTCACAACCAGTCGCAGACCGCCTTCGTTGAGCAGTTCGAGGCCATCTCGAACCAGCACGAAGCTGACAAGCAGGCTCTGGTCCAGAAGCACGTCGACGAGGTGGGCCAGCTGGCCCAGAAGCACGAAGAGGCGCTCGTGCCGTTCCGTGAGAAGGGTCTCCAGGATCTCGAGAAGCTGATGGATCTGCAAGACAAGCTCGACGAGGCGGAACGTGCTCGCGACGCTGCCAACAAGGAGCTGGCTCTGATGGCATCCAAAGCTGCAGCTGCTACGCCAACTACCGCCGCGAGCCTTCTCGATGGACAGGGCAAGGAGAACCAAGAGATGAGCGATCTCGAGCGTCTCCACGCTGCACACACCGAGAAGGTGGCTCTGCTCTCGAACCAGCACCACGAGCAGCTCGAGCAGCTGCTGGCTGAACGTCGAACCGAGCGCGACGAGCTCGAAAATGTTCGCCGTGATCTGCAGAACGCCAAGCGGGAAGTCGAGTTCCTCACCCATGACCAGGAGGACGTGGACAAGCTCAAGAAGGAGATCGAACGGTTGGAAGACCAGCTCCATCAGGCGCTTGCCACCTCGGCCGCCGCTTGAGGGAAGTGTTGTCGACTGAATGCTGTTGACCGAATGCTGATTAAGAATGGCTAGAATACAAGTACAGAGATAGATGAATGCGGACGACGTTTTCGACAGCGTCCTTGTCGAGAGGTTGGAGAGATGCAATGGTGCGGAACGTGCACCAGGTGCCTGAGCACGTCTGGTTGTAAGATGCGATGTAGTCCGGGTGGGACTTGGAGAGGTTGTGTTCGCGGACGAGCAAGGTGTGGACGACCTTCTTGATGGTGTTGCGGTTGAGCTTCTCGACCGAGTCCGTGGTATCGGCAGGCTTCGCGTCGGTGGTGAGGAAAGGCTCGGGCGAGACGGATTCCACCTTGACCGGTTTCACGTCGAGCAGATGCGGGCGGCTTTCGGACTTGGTCACGAGGGCGCGCGTGGGTTGCCTGCCGAGGTTGAGACGTGGCAGGTCCGAAAGGATGCGGTCCGCCCGATGCTTGATGGCCCTGGTGGGCGAAGCGACGGCGAGGTCCATGGGCTCGTCCTTGACTTGGCTCTCGAGGCTGGGGCTGCCTGCGACTTTGCGGTCCGAGGTGGTGTGCCGCTTGTCGCCGCGTCGACCTGGTGTATGTGTGCTTGCCGATGGAGCAGAGCTGGAGTTGGATGGTGCAACGGGCGATGCGCCTGCATGGCGCTGTGTATGGCTGGGCTTGCGTTTGGAGCGTGCTTGAAGAAGTGCGGAGATGGACCCGCGCGGAAGCGGATCGTCTGGACGCGGACCTGTACCGGTCGGCAGTGCGGAGACGCCTCCAAAGGACGGCAGTGAGAGTCCAGCCTGACTGAACACGTCGTGGAGCGTCTGCGACCCGACACTTGGCTGCCTGTGGAAGCTGCGGGATCTGCTCAGCTCCCTTCCCGCACCTACGTCCGCCCTCTTGGTCTGGATCGTCACTCTGCGTCCAAGCACAAGTCGGATCGGCATCGAGTCGGACGATGGCCCTGCTTCGTCTGCTTGCGGTGTGTTTGTCGGCTGAGCAAAGATGGCATACTCCGAAGTTCCAGCGGAGGAGAAGGCGAACGGATCCGATGCGAAAGCGTCGTCCGCCGACGCGAGGAGCGAAGGCTGAAGCGAAACCGTCACCACCTGCGCTGACCGCCTCTTGCCCGCATCCTGGACAAAGTCGGCATCGAAGCAAAAGATGCGCTGGAAGAAGCTCCACGTTGCCGTCTCGCGCGGATCGATGTAGACGCGCACCTCGCCGCTGGCCATCCAGTGAGACTGCTTCTGGCTGATGGCTCCCACCAAGGGTGCGGATCCCCGATCGGTCGTCACGGCGGAAATGTGAAGCGGCTGGTTGCGCAGCATCTCCAATGCCAAGCACAGGTCGGCTTCCGCCTCGTGCATGTCGGTCTGCGCATCGTGGTCGCGTTCCGCATTGCTTTCGATGAAAGGGTTGGCGTAAGAGACGATGGCGAGCCCTGGCAAGCGGGTGCCGTCGATCAGGACCAAGTCGCTCCGCCAGAGAAGCCGCGCTTTGGCATCAAGTCGCTTCGCCATAGCAGCCTGGCTCTGGCTCGGGCGTCCGATGCGGCGATGCCAGTGGCATGTCTCTGTGCCGCGAGTAGAGGTGGTGGAAGGTGGAGTTGGTGCAGTCGAATGGAGGAGGTGGGTAGAGTTCAAGAAGACGCGCTGCGGAATGTGTCACTTTTCTCTCGTGTCGCGACTTGCCTTTCCAAAGGCGCAAAAATAGAGAGTCCTACGGGGATTGAACCCGCGACCTGCAGAAGACACCCGCGAAGGAGTGCTTGACACCCGAGAAGGTGTGCTCCAGTTTGGAAACCGAAGTCTGCCGCTCTACTGCTGAGCTAAAGACCCTGATATCTAGGATGAAGACGTAATAGCATACATGTACAGACCATTTTCGGAAACCGAGATGCGCTTCAAGCCAAGTTCATCAAGTCCGGTGACGCCGCCCTCGTCAACATGGTCCCCACCAAGCCCATGTGCGTCGAGTCCTTCTCCGAGTACCCCCCTCTTGGCCGCTTCGCCGTCCGTGACATGCGTCAGACCGTCGCTGTGGGTGTGATTAAAAACGTCCAAAAAATACAGGGTGGCAAGGGTAAGACGACCAAGTCCGCTGAGAAGAAAAAGTAGTTTGATGGTTTCCGCCATCAACTTGCTCTTCTCCGTCGTCCATACGGTGGTGAGACATCCATTTTTCCTGCCCGCGTTTTTTCCCCCGCGGGTGTCCACAAGGCCGTTACCGCGACCAAGTCAGCCGAGTCGATTCGCCATGGATTTGCATTCCTCCGTCGTTCGCACCATGCAATCTACGTACATTTGGCTGTCTACAGAGTTATCTGATGCAGTGTGACTGTCGTGACCTGTACGCTGATGCGACCGTGTGCAAAGACGCTGATCGTAGGAACGCTGTCCACCCGAGTCTGAAAGACGTCGATGAACGTTTGGCGAGCATGCTCAGTCTCCTCGGACGTTGTGGCGCATTGAGGGATGGAGAAGGAGAGCAGCTCGTACCTTGCATCTTGTGCATCATGCCATAAGATTTTGAAGAGAGAGAGGGGTTGTAATCCGAGGCAGTTTGGTGGAGAAGGGGCAAAATCGGGTTCTGCAAGAGGCGATTCAACGAGCCCGAAGGATCGAACATCGTAGCGAGGGTGCGAAGCACCGTCTCCCGCGGTGCCAGTGTGCAGGCAGTACACAGAGCCGTACTCCAGCAGGAATCCCGCTAGTGCCACACCTACGAGGCGAGCATCACCTGGGTTATCAGAGCGAGCGCGGATCGGATCAGAGAATGCCTGCGATACAATCAACACATCCCCTGTCGCATCTTCGAGAATGGCTTGATGGACACGCTCGAGCAACTGTCTGATGTGCGAGTCTGGGCTCGCACGTGTCGGTGAAGCGTGATCTGCTGTCAGGCGAGCGTCAATCCAGAGGCGTTTGGGAATCGAATCCGATCTAGCTGTGCTATCGAGAGTCGACATGTCAGCCCAGAGGCTTTGCTGTCTGCCGACGATGAACGTCTGCCCCGTGGCAGCATGGTAAAGCAATCGCACATGTTGGAGATCGTTGCTGCCGGGTACGCTCCTTTGCTTGCAAAGAGTTGCGAGTCTCGAGCTGATCGCGGATGCCTGTGCAGTTGAAAGGTCCAAAGAGTCGACCAGCGCTGCTCTACGCACCCCTGCTGCCACGACCAGCACCTGCAATGCCAACTGTGAGCACGCCGAACGTGATGGTCTGCCTCTCTTTGCGCCTGGAACAGAGCTGATAGCCTCCATCAAGTGCCGTGCAAGCATCCCTACAGGCCTAGTCTGAAGGAGGCGATGCTCGGATGCACCAACATCAGGTGCAACGCCGCTTGCTTTGGCGATGGCAGCTCGTTTGGACATCCAGCTCGACCGGCTGCTCCAACGCCTTGGAGTGTGCTTGCTATCAACGAGTCCTACGCAAGAGCGCTTGGAAGATATGGCATTCTGGCTTTGTTGTCGCTGTCCTCAGCCTCGCACGGTGAAGCGACGTTCCGCCTTTTGAACAGCTTATGAGTGATGACAAGCTGCGAGCTACTAATGTGCGTCGCGACCGTCTGTCAAGGACATGGTTTGACGTTTTTGATACGCAGCAGGTCACGGAGCACATCTAACAAAAATGTGCCGAAAAACAGCCACGCGACTCGGCGCGTAAAAGTGGAGTGTTGCGTGTTGAAAAGAGAAGAACTGAGCTTTTCGTTCTTCCTCACAGCCACCATTCCGACCCAAAGCACCGATGATCTCCCTCGGGCATCCATGACGGCCTTTCATGGCACAAGACTCGGGCACAGCATCCGGTCCGGGCGAAATAAGGGCGAAGGTAGCAAGAACGATGGTCGCAGAGAAGTAAGCAACGACGACCTGCGGCCGGACGCGGGCCATGCAGAGCAGGAGGAAGAGCAGTCGATCGAGCAAGATGATGAAGAGGCGGACGAGTACGAGGAAGATCAGGATCAAGATGACGAGGACGACGAGGACGACGATGAAGACGAAGACGATGATGAGGATGGAGATGACGACGAGGAAGACGACGAAGGAGAAGGGGAAGATGGCGTCGCAGAGGAGGAGGAAGACGAGTCTCCGTTCCGCTTTCTCGAAGGACTCGACGCCAACTGGCTCACGGGCAGATCGCTGACGGCGGAACCAAGATCAGTCTCCTACAACGATCCTTCTGGTAGCAATCGCCGCTCACCAACAGAAAGTGCAGACGATGCCGAGTTCTACGGCGCCATGATCCAGATGCTCACTCACGTACTAGGATCATCGAGTTCGATCACCTGGCCCAATCAAGCCACGCCAGGGTCGCAGCTTGCACCTTCCCCCTTCGCACCTCCGTACAGCAGCCCAGCACATACTCCGAGCCTCGCAGCACCATCCTTCGCAGCTACTTCGAGATCGGCCATCGGCAGCAACGCAGCGAGCAGCAGCAGCAACAACAAGAACAAGGGCAACAAGTCGGAGCTCTCGGCGCTTCAGCCAATGATTCAGGCGCTCATCGCGCGTCTTGGAAAGGATCATCAGCTTCCACGTCGGCCAGTGGGCGAGCAGGATCTCACTGCGCTGTTGCAGACTCTGATGCAGCAACAGCAGCGTCAGCAAGATGAGCAAGCGACCAAGGGGGCCACCCCTCGTCCGACCACTTCGCTGTCCGGCTCCGACTACGATTTTGCCGGGCAGGGCTCGCTAGCGCAGATGCCATCCGGACTCACTCCTCATCCGTTCACCGGAGCTGGGTCTTCTTACGACCTCTCGGCGAGCCACAGAGAGCAACGGCTCCACTTTGCCGATCTCGACTTTGAGGACGAGGATGAAGACGATCCCGACTTCAACCCTGATCTGAATCCGGATCTTCCGCTGCCCTCCGCTTGGTCGTTGGCGGTGCGCGATGTGGTAGCATCCGAGGAATCGCGAGCCGCGGCCGCGGCCGCAGCTGTTGCCGCCTCTCATTCAGGCACGCCGTCTGGCGCTCAGACGCCGGCAGACATGCTTCGACCAGATTCACACACAGCAGGCAACCCGCAAGCGAGTTCGAACGCTCGCTCGGCCATGATCTCGCCGTCGGAAGACACCGAGGGACGTCGACTGTCGTTCGAGCATCCCTCTGCACGATCTTCCAGGTTCAACTCGTTCGCACAAGCTTCGACCTCGGCTGTTTCTGCATCTGCGTCTGCGTCTGCGCCTCCTTCGCATTCGACCCCGATCCAACAAGATGCTCGGCGGTCATCGACGAGGCATGCCACCCCTCCTCCGTCCTCAGCTTTGGATGGCGTACAAGCAGAGGGTGCTCCGGTCGCCTCAGATGTCTTGTTCTCGCCATCGGGCAGACCGATCCGAGCCTCGCGCAAACGGCCAGGCTCTCCATCGTCCGGAGCTCCGTCAAAGCAAGCGCATCCTGACCTCGCGGCGACGCCAGCAGCATCTCCCGCAGAAGAGAGCGCGCCTCGCAAGAGAGGCAGAAAGCCGGTGCTTGAGCCAGGCGAAGCACAGCGTCGTCGCGCACAACGCAACGTCGAGTATCAGCGCATGCGACGCCAGGTGAAAAAGGCGGAAGAATCCGAGCAAAGCGAGACAGTGCTCGAGCTCAAGGCCGAAGTCAAGATGCTCCGTGCCGAAATGGAGAGACTTCGGGACGAGAATGCGATGCTGCGCGCACAGCGTGAGCTCGACCGGATGCAGCGCTCGAATCGCGGTTGAAGCGCGACATCGAATGGAACGACGACCACGACACTGCTTTCTAGCCCTGCATTCTAGTAAATATACCCTTTTGCACATCAGAGCACACGTCCTGACACCGGAACGGTGCTATCCTTTTACCCGAGATGACCCTGAAGACGATTATCTTATGGCCTGACCCGAATGATCCGAGAAATTGCATTATGCCGGTTGTTGCGGATTGCAGATCGGAAGTCTAATTAAGCAGAGTCACACGAACGAGCTCTCGACGTCGTCCTTTCTGCTTCATCACCATCATCATCCTCTTGCTCGATTGGCGCCCGTCTCGGCGCTTGCGGCTCGTCATGCCGCCCAAAGCAAAGCCTCCGCGTTCTGATCCCGCACCTTCCGCGTCCCCGGCCTCTGCCTCATCGCCACCCAGGCTCGCCGATACCATGCGCGATCTGTCCTCCACATCTTTAGGTTCGTTGCCTCAGATCGAGGTCAAGCCGCAAAAGGCTTGCGTACTCTGCCGCCGATCCAAGGTCAAGTGCATCCACGAGGGAGCTCCCCCCTGCAAGCGGTGCAGGGATACCCATCAAGAAGCGCAATGCAAGTTTCGACTCCGAGCCGACGATGAGACGTGGCGCGAGCGCACCGACGAGGTCTTGAGCCGTCTTGGTGATAGCGTAGACTGGCTTGTGCAGCAGCAGAGACAACAGCAACAGCAGAAGCAGCAGTACCATCAACAACAGCCGCAGCATCAGCAGCAAATCGTGCGCGAGCGCTCCGATACGACTGCCTCGAGTACATCTTCGATGTCCGCGCCTTCGCCGCGAAAGCAACACCGTTCCAGTCTCTATCGACCGCCTCCGCCCCTGCCTCCTGGGCGAGGGCCGAGTGTGAGTGCGTTCCACGCACATCCACATCCTACCGCCCTACCTGGCGATCATATACCCCCGCATTCGGATGCTGTGATTCAGCACAACGGCCACGCGCCTCAAGGCCGTCCTTCGTTCCCGACCTACCTCGGATTTGATGGCGCTGCTGGGCTGCTTAGCCCGGGAGACTCGCACGCTCGATCCGCCTCCTCACCATCGTCTTCCGCCGCTTCTGCTAGCAGACATTACCGTGCCCATTCCACTTCGCAAACCTTCCGACCATTGCACAACCCTC